TTGGCATTAGGATACAGCAGTAATTCAAACTTAATTCCCATCCTTTTGAAGCTGTTCCTTTATAGTTTCAGATTTCTTCCGGAACACTGATTTTGTGTGCCCACCATAGCCACTCTGCTTCCTGTCATAATGACAGGAAGACGCCTCACCGTCCTACTGTGTTACGTTGTGGGGTTGATGCTTGCCATGTTTACAGAAAGTCAGGGGGTGGTGGGGGCTTAGAAATGTTCACCAGACCAACTAGAGCTCTGCCTCTTTCATAAGCTATCAAGAACTGGAATGTATGAAAACTGCAGTGGCCCAGTGCATGGATGTAGCAGTCATTACATGGATGTTGTTGGAAAGCTCAAAAGCACTATTAACAAGGGGATCTTCTATGGGCAACATCATGGGAAGAAGATGGACTGGGACCTTGACAGGGTTTTGCCATCAAAGGGTTTTTTCCTTCACTGGAGGAAGCTAAGGGTCACACCTACATGTCTTTAAATCTCTCTATTAAGTGAATAGGTTGCAGTAAAATAAGTTGATCTAAGGGACTTTTTTGAAGAAAAGTCAAAATTGTCTGTGTATATACCAGTATGTGCTTCCTCTTCCCACACCCTGAGAATGTTCCTGGCTTTTGGCTTTCATCAGCTTTTCATAGGGGCAGAGATCCAAAGGAATGTTAAGAAGTAGAATGTTCTGGTATTTTTCTGGTTTCAAAATTTACTCAATTCGATGTCCCTTCCACCCAAATCTCAATTACGAGATGTACTTACATCGTTGACAGTTTGCTACCCTGGTTTCTCTGTTTCATTGTAGTTGCTCTTTCATTTATGTCAGATGAAGCTATTATCCATGACTGAGAAGCTCACTTCTACCACTGGGCTCACACATGCACAACCCAGGCACAAGCCCAGGGCTCTGTGCTTTCCAACAACTTTATTCTAGGCCTATTTAAGTGCATGTCTTACCGTGGTAAACTTTGAGATTTTGAAAGCAGAGATTTTTACTTCGTTTGTTTGAGCTGCACAATAACAAAGTAGGTAGGAAAGGCATTATCACACCCACTGGTCTAATTCTGCATATCAGTAGGCTTAGATTCAAAGTCCAGTGGAGGGTGTTCATTGGTTTCCTTTCCTATGTAGTGAAAGGAGTAAGTTTGGTTAAGGATAAAGAATTTTGGGGTAGGGTAGAAGTTGGGTTAAGTGTTTTTTCTTTGGAGGTAGAATTGTATATAGATATTTAAAGATTTGTTTATGCATACAAGACCTGGGGTATAGGTCATAGGTGTGTGAAAGTGTGTATGTGAGAGGATTCACCAGAGATAGTGGGGAGCAGAACAGGCAGAGCTACTGACATACACTGCTAAGGGGAGCAGTGGGCAGGACAGGAGAGGTCTGCTGAGCCATGTGGGTTACCTCCTGACTGGGGATTGAACTCAAGCTGCAGTAGCTGGCAATAGCTTCACAGTGTAGAGACTTAACCATTTTCATCACCAGGGAGGTCCCTAAAAGTGAATATTAAAGGAATAAGTGACAAGCTCTTTGTTTTCTTCTGAGCAGAGAACAGTAGTGGGAGCACATCTATCCAAGACAAGCCTGTTGCACTGGGCTTTAATATGATGCTTGCTAACTTAGCCATGATTTAGTTCTAATCTTTGGTAAAATAATAGATGGAGTATTTCTGTTGCTGTGCCACCTCGGGTGACCTTGACCTTGTCCTTTTCAATTCCTTGGTCTCACTGTGCTAAACTGATCCCATCTGGGGAGCTCCTTCAGAGGACTGTCACATCCCCTGTGGCCTGCAGCTCTGCACTGGCCCTACTGGCCTTTTTTTTTTTATGGGGGAATCACTCTTTGTACAAATAGGCAACTGCTCTTCTTTTTTTCCCCTAGACCAGTCCTATTTGAAGTGTGGCTCACTGGCCATCTTTACAGTCAGTTCATGAACAACAGAAAGTGAAAGTAAGAGTTTTAGAAATTTCCGGCCCTCCCTGGTGGCGCAGCGGGTTAAAGCACTGCACTAAGAAGTAAGGGCCACTTCTGCATGAGTTCGATTCCCGCCTGCCCGGGAGGTGACTACATGGCGTGGCAGACCTCTCTTGACCCGCCCGCTGCTCCTCTCAGCAGTGTACTTCGTTGATCTGCCTATTCTGCTCCCCACTCTGTCTCTGGCGAAGCCTCTCACAGCCCCTGTGCCTCTGGCCTGTACCCCAGTTCTGTGTGCACAAATAAATAAATCTTAAAAAAAAAAGTTTTAGAAATTTCACCAGCAACTTGACAGTAATTTTATGTTTATAATAAGGAATTTGGGTTTTTAGTTTACCTTTAAAAAAATTTTTTTAGTAGTTTTATTACAGTTCACAAACACAATCAGTTCACAATATATTAAATATTTAAAACAAACAAATTTTTGGTTACTAACCAGAATTAATACATGTGTCTAATACCACATGCACTCAGAGACTTTGGACAATGAAGATGAGCTGTCCACATGGAAACATTCACATTAGCTTTTCAGTTTAATGAGTTATGTGTTTTGTAGTTTTGATGTCTTTCACCCATTTGAAATTCCCACTAACAATACAGTGATATGGTAAGAGCTCTGGAGTGCTTTTTTTTAAAAAGATTTATTTATTTGTGCATACAGAACTGGGGTACAGCCAGAGGCTCAGGGGCGGTGAGAGGCTTCACCAGAGACAGAGTGGGAAACAGAACAGGCAGATCAATGAAGTACACTGCTGAGGGGAGCAGCGGTCAGGTCAGAAGAGGTCTGCCACACCATGTGGTCACCTCCGGGGCAGGCAGGAATCGAACTCATGCAGAAGCGGCTTTTAGATTCTCAGTGCTGTGCTTTAACCCGCTGTGCCACCAGGGAGGGCCTCTGGAGTGCTTTTTTAACTTTAGTTTTATAAATTATACATTGTCAAATATTTTAACTCTTCAAACCTTGGTTTCTTCATTTCAATATACGTTATAGAGGTGTTTTATCTGATTAAGTGAAATAGTATATTTAAAACAGCTTAGGATTTGGATCACATTATAAATGCAGTAAAAATTGGATATTAAGGAACTGTAGTAAGCAATATTATAAAATGGAGATCATATTTATTTGCCATCATGCAAATAGTACACATCACTAGTATTACTATAATTATTCATTAGACATGTATACAATTGTTGTATATTGTAATCTAATCCATGTTCTCAAGCAATGTAGAATTTAGCAGGAAATATTAAATACACAGAAGGAAGGTGTATATGAAATAAAATAAGGAAGTTAGTAAAAATGTAAAGGAATCAGTCTTTTCCATTTCTCTAAAGAATCAAGAAGTTTTAAGGATAGTATTGAGATAAACCTGAAAGAATGACAATTTAGAACAGAGTAAAATATGACATAAAATGTTTCAAAATGTCATGATATGTTGAATTAATATCACCAAGTATTAAATAAGACAACTTGATAGTAATAGATATAACTCCTCTCTAATTAAAAGTATGTATACAGATGAGTCTAGATAAAGATGTGATAATTTTTTATTTGTGTGAATATGGGAAGTGAATTTCTTTCTTTGTTTTTTTTTTTTTAAGATTTATTTATTTATGGATATAAGAATTGGGGTATAGGCCAGAGGTGTGGGAGGAGAAAGGATTCACGAGAGACAGAGTGTTGAGCAGAACAGGCAGATCTACTGAAATATACTGTTGAGGGGAGCAGGTGAGACAGGAGAGATCTGCTATGCCAGTCATCAACCTGGTGAGGGAGCGAACTCCTGGGGGCAGTGGTTGCAGATAGCTTTATAGTGCTGTGCTTTAGCCTGTTGTGCCACCAGGGAGGGCCTGGAAAGTGAATTTCTTTTTAGTTTTCACATTTAAGATTTTATACATAGATATTTTCAAGAATAGTTTTATTTGTTAGAACTTTTCATATAGCAGGCTAAAATCAAAGCTGCTGACTTAAGTGTAATTTGATCCAACCTTTAAAAAATATTTTTGGCAGTTTGTACTAGCAACTATAAAAATGTTGAGTTACTTTTTCACGTAGTAATTCCATATTCCAGGTACTTATTTTTAAAAACCTACATCCAAGAAGACATCCTATGATCTCTTTATAATGGCAAAAAGAGAATAAGTTTGTTCAAGAACAGAGAATTCAGAAAACTTTGTATGTCCACTTAACATAAATTTATACAACCGTTAAAGTGAAGCCTAGGTACAAATATGAAACTCACAATTGTAACACTAATATGCATAGAACAACACTAAAAAAATATCAAATGCTGAAACTGGTTGTGTTCAAGGGAGAAGGATTTCTTTTTTTTGGCACTCATGTTTTATGACGTGGTTACAATCATTTTTACAATGGAAGCAATTATTTTAAAGGCTGGGTAGGAAAAGGTTTCTCACAGGCACTCATTTGAAAGCATCAAATAAACTAATAAAGTATTAAAAACACCTCTTTTATATTCCTCACTTACAGTCCCTTCGCTTCAGCCTCAAAGTTGATCTGCTTTTGGTTGGTATCCCTGCCATGATTTGCATAGAAAAGAACGACAGACAGAAGGGACCCTATATTTTACGAAGGAGAATTTATCTGTAATCTGGCCTTCCAAGTCAGTAGTAGCACCAAAATAGGAACGCTCGTCTGCCAGGATGTCTAATAGTATCTAACACTATTTATAACTCCATGTTATAACTCAACTGACGAGTATTAACAAACTTGTCTATCGAATGAACACTGGCGTTACCACCATTCTAGCCCGAGGGTTTGATTCCTTTCTCTGCAGATGGTCTCGCGCTTTCGCACCTCACCACTTGGGGGCCGGCAGATGTTTCAGCTGGTTCTCGCTATTAAAGTCCCTCACGCGGCCCGTCTCCAGAGTCCGCAGTGCCGCACAACGGCCGACAGGGGGTGCTGCAACCTCCTGGTTTCCGCGGCCCCTCCCTGGCCAACCGTCGATTGGGGCCGGCGCGTGACGTCACGCCGTTTTAGCCAAACAAATAGGTTCAGAGCGAGCGTTGAGCTCCGCCGCGCCGCGCTGGGCGCTCGGTCCGCCTCAGCGGTGGGGAGCGAGCCAGGCCTCCCGCCGCTGCCTCCGCATCGGGTGTGCAACCCCGGGCTAGGCCCCGGCCGGGGCAGGAGCGCAGGTGGGTCGGGGTCGGGGTCGGGTACGGCGTGAGGGCAGCGCGGTCGGGGTCCGGCGGCGGCCACCGTGGCCGCTCCCCGCCCCCTCCTGCAGCCTCCCTGCGCTCCGGGAGCTCCGGGCGGGTGGGGGCGGGGGCGCCGCCCGCGGGTCCAGGGTTCGCGGCGCTCCGGGCGCGTCTGGGGTTGGGACCCTACGGCCCGCACCTCCTCCTGCGGCCGCCTCCGCCCGCGCACCCCCGGGGCTCAGAGCGCCCTGCGGGCCACCGAGGGCCGGGCGGGCTGTTGGGCGGGAGCGGGGACCTCGGACCGGGCTGAAGCCGCGGAGATCGGCTTAGGCCGTGAGGGGGCACCGGACCGGCTCTCCCACCTTCGGGACCCAGGCGGGAGAGGAAGTCGGGCCCTACGTGGGGATCGCCTCGTCCTGGTCGCGCCCGCCCGGGCTCGGCCACTCTGCCCTTTCCTGTCCCAGCGCAGGTGAGCTGGCGCCTGCCCTTACCCTTCCGCAGGGACCGGGCTGGGCAGAGGCTCGGAAGCTTGTCTCGCTTCTGGGCTGGCGCAAGTCGACTGCGGTTCGGCCCCAGCCCGCGGTGAAGTCATAGTGTTGTGGGTCCGCGTGTGTGTGACGTCAGGGGTTTCCACGAGAGGGGCTTATGATGTCACTGCAGGCCCCGGCGGGGACCTTGGCGCGCGGAAGGGCTGGGAGGACCCGAAGGGGAGAAAAAGGAAGTTCGGTCTTATGTCCAACGCCTGGAATCGCTGCAGATTTGAGTCAAAAGTTGTTCGATGTCAGCATTTTTACGGTTTTCCTGTAATAGTTGTCAGGTTCTTTAAATTCGTTTCAAACAGGCTTGTAAATACAGGTCAATACGAGGTACGTTTGATTCAGGGCAACTGAAATCAGGATTTTGTGGGCGGGGGAGGGGGCCTGGGTGCTTAATGTAAACGCCATTCGGGGAACTAAACCAAGTTTGGTTTGATTGGAATTACTGGAAAAAAAAAAATAGAACCAGTTTTGAGTGCTGATGTTTCAGTTTGCCAGTCTCTCTTGCTAGACAATTTTGAGGTCATCTGTCTACATGTCATTTTTCTAAGAGAATGGTGAGGAAGAGAGCAGATCTTATGTGAGCCTTTTCTATTGCAAGGGAGTGGGGAGGTTGAATTAATCCAGTATTTCTTAAATAATAATTACCTGACAATGTAATTTATCCAGGTTGTCCCTGTCCCATGTTACCATGAATAATTGAGGGTTCCCTATGGTTATATAGCTCAGCAACAAGCCTTTTTCTTGCCTTCTTAAGAAGATGGAGCTTTAACAATATAATAACATCTCAGGACTGCTTGTCTGGACAAGTAAAATTTTGTTTACAGTACTTTCAAGTACGAAACTACAACATTTTCCAAAAGTTCCTTGTCTGTGAATATTTTTCTTATTAAGATTGCAAAAGAGATTAGGCTGACGTGTATCTAATCACTTGTCATTACTGACCACTACAGGTATTCCAGCATCTCAATTCTTTGATTCACTAATAGTTTCTTCCTCCCTATAATCACTTAAATAGCGTTTAGTTGGAAAGGTAGGTGACTTAAAGCTGAAATGTGTTTTCAATTTAATGTCTTCATTTTAGAAGCTTTGATAGGAATCCCTCCTCACTGACCTTGACTTACAGAGTTGTGTTAATACTTCCTCCTCTCCGTTTGCCTTTTAAAGGTTATTAATAAGGTATTCTCTCTGAAGTTTGCATCAGCATGCACAGGGAAGTTACGCTATACCCATGAATACAGGAAATAAAGGCAAAATTTTATCTTTAATTACTATTAAATTTGATTATAAGTTCACAAAACATGACTTTGCCATAAATCTCATTTGATCCTCGCTATACCTTGGAAACTTGACAACAGTGAGTGCATAAATGAAAATTATTATTTCTCCTTTGAACAAATCAGAAATTTTATGGTGACAGTGTTGAGTGACCCCCAAATTCAAACTGTAGATCTTTACAACCAATTAGGTTGCCAAATTGAGCATGAGCCTGCTGATACTGAGGATGTTGTCTTTAAGAGGAAAGGATCATGGCAAGCTGTTATGCAGTGAAATTGAAGGAATTGTATACTTCCACTTTTTTTTCCCCCCAGAAACCTTTCTGGGGTATCTTGTATGATTCTGTAAATTTAGCGTACTAACGTTAAGTGGAAAGGAGTGAAAGTCAAAACTGAGTATGAATTGAAACCTACATCATCTATGATAATAAAAGTAGCTCCTCCTTGACAGTGTTATTTCCCCCTCTACTATTTTAGGAATTTTATTTTATCCTTATTAAAAAATTATTAGGTGAAGAATAAATATCTTAGTGTGTTCTAATGTGACAGGAACTGACAGTTATGAAAGTCAGTTTGTGTGTATAGCTGTATAGTGATTTAACAACCATAACTTCTGAAACATTTTAGGGTTGTTTTCTACTTTTGGCAGGATGCTTTTCTTCTACTCTTTGCAGTTGTGGGTCAGGTTTTGCTTCTTAGGAATGGAAATTTATTTGAGATAAGTTTATTATTTTAAATATTTAGTCAGTTACTTTTGAAAAATCTAAGTAAACCAACCTGGAGGGCATATTTCTGAAAGATTTAAGATTTAAATATGAGGAATAAGTTACATTTTAGAAATTCTTTAGAAGGTATTTATTCTTTGAGTTCTGTTAACATGTACAAGTTAAATTCTTACAGGTTTTCTACTTTATGTTCTAAAGTTAACAGATTATAGTCTGACTATTCAGCTATTTAATATGGATAGTTGTTACATTCTAGTAAACTTTAATCTTTTTTTAATATTTGTTGGGGAGAGAACATACAAAATTGGTAGAGACATCACTTGGTGTTATTTTCCAAAATTTGCAGCTGTTTAGAACCAAATAGTTGAGTGAAGCTGCTATGGTATAATGAATGCCTTCCTTGTTAGATCATGTGTGACAAAGGCAAAATTCAGCAAGTGCATAATCTGTAGCCCTTTAGAAGCAACAACAACAAAAAAGAGCAGATTATCCAAATGCATTTAGGTCATCTGGAAATTGAATTCCTGTCAATCCTTATTTTTGCATAATTCTTTGATGTACCTTGTGTATTTTGAAGCTGATGAACATACTGTATTAACCAGGAAAACATTAATGGTTAAAAGTATAGATGGTTCTTTTTTCTTTTTTTTTTTTTTAAAGATTTATTTATGTGTGCATACAGAACTGGGGTACAGGCCAGAGGCTCAGGGGTGGTGAGAGGCTTCACCAGA